TCATGACGGTGTCCAGCTGAATTTCCTCTGGAGTCTGTCTGTACCCACCGACTTTACGGCCTCTGTTGAATTCGGAGCTGCTTTACCATTTATACTGCAATGCTGTGCCCATCTGTTAGGCCGCATTTTTCTACGTACATATGCAGAGTAAAAAACCACAAGACGAAGGGGTGACTAGAGCATCAGGGTTTGTACACTGTATGTATGCGCCCTCGTATTTACAAAGTCCTCTGAGCCCTCCATGGTGGCACCCCCTCGTCCCCTGGAACGAAGGCAGGTCACTCTGCACTGTAAAGGAACGTTAATCAAGTGAGTGCTGTTTCAGAGCCAAGCTAGATCTGTCCTTGTTTTTGCCAGTCACAGGAAAAGCCTCAAGGGTTTTGCGTTTTACTTAATTAAAGGCTGAAGTTCTCCCCTCCGTAGCTGGTAGCAAAGAAGCCACCTCCCTCCTGATATTAGACCACTCTGTCCTGAACGCTTCACAGCACCCCAGAAAATGCTGCAAAATAAAAAATAAATGATAGATATTAACGCCTCCTTTGTGTTTCAAAAATTGTGTGTTTCAAGACTGTTTCAGCAAATCTCCTGCTCGAGATCGACGTGAAGTATTTTTTGGAGCGTAGGTTAAATGCATCGGGAAACGTGTTTTCCAGAATTACTGAAGGCTCGCCCCGCTGTCAAATTCAATCTGATACATTAGTAGCTGTTAGGGTGCGCATAGAAAGCAATTACGTGTTCCAACTAGAGAATTTTCTCTCGGTTTGGAAAATGTCAGGTTCCCCACGTGTATCGCAAAGGTGGCGGTTTGGCTCAGATTTATTGAACTGGAGCGACTTAACGGGCCTTAAATACTTAAATAGTTTACTCTGCAGTTGCAGGAACTGGTGTCAGTGATGTAATTTGTTATAGTTAATGCTCTATGTAAAATATTTTGGACTTTTTCACTAGGTATTAATTTGATCTCTGTAGGTTTCACATACTCTCATACCTGGAAAAAGATGGTGTGTCATTTCTTGACATGGGAAGAATCCGTGGCTGCTGGGATATAAGTCTACTTCCGTTCTGTTTAAGTGCAAAAATGGCAGTAAGAAATCATCTTCCAAAGAGCATTTTCTGCAGCTTAGCAAAAATCGAAGGGATCAAATCTGAGATATTTTTTCTTCTTGCTCCTGTAACCTGGGTTTCCAAGTTGGATCTCGGGATTTACAGTTTGAGTGACATTGCTTATTTCCACGCTGTCGGGAACGTGAAATGAATCTTTGCTTTCAGTTGAAAATCAGTGATTCTTTACCTGGACCACGTGGCTGTCCTGCTGATTTACATTGCTACTGGTGCGAGGGCTTCCTAGTGTCCCAGTGGACTAAACACTGATGTACAGTACGTCTCTCGTCTCTTTAGGTTTGCATGAGGAAAAATGCTTTTTTATGAGGTTGATTTGCTAATGCATCCTTCCCTAATTCTTTTGAATTGCAAATGGATGGCTTTAATGACTGTGCACTACTTACTGACCCCTTTGTTGGTGAGCATTGCATTAAATCTGGACTTTTATATGTGTAGGTTGCTGGTGCAGTCTGCCAAGCCATGTCCTGCTAATGTAGCATGCATTACCCTTCTGCTTTCAGTGGCAGCAGTCGTGCTCGGTTTGACTTGCTTTCGATTGATAATGCATTAGGCTGGGACCCCAGCCTGCTATGACTGAGCAGCCAGGCTTTATTATTGTTTTAAGCCTCCATCTAGGCTGCAGTGCATTTTATTTTGACCTCAGATAAGCATGTGTGCACCTCCTGGAGACCGTCTGCTTACTGCATGCCAGGGAAAGACAAGTGACTCAACATACACTGCGTACTATAGGGAGATGCTTTTGCTGTGTTTTAGGCTAGCATTCGACTGGTCTACACCTGTCTTAGAACGGTTTACAGGTTACAGTAGCTGGACGTGCAGAAATGACATTACAGTCGAAACTGAAAGACATGGACAAGAGTCTGATTATGCAAAAGCCAAGGATTATGCATATGGATTCTGAGCTGTGTCACACATTCTTAGGTTGAACTTGCTGTGTTGGCAGGTTGTTTTACACAAACAGCGGTTGGTAGCATTCTGAATCCTCCAGGTTTTGCCTAGTATTGGCATTCTGTTTGATAATCCCCTGTCCAGGAGTATCACACTAGCAGGCACTTTTGGTAATGCTAAATGCGAGTACACCTCCCGTGATCACAATACTGCGATAATAGTAGGCAGGTGGCAAAGCATGGATATTTATCCTTGAAGGAAACTAAGTGCTTGAGATGCATCCGAGCAGTTTCTGGGCTGTGTATAAGGAAGTGCATTATCACAAATGTTTTGTGGGTCCTCGAAAAACCATTTATGTTCATTAAGACTGCAGTGGAAGAAATCATGTTTTTCGGTCCAACTGACAACTAAATATCGAGTGAACCAGGCAGTTGGACCTGTGAGTGAGCTTCCCCTCTGATTAAAATCGGTGAAAATTTAGAAATAAAAAACTAGCAGCACATTGAATCATTTACAACAAATGGGTTGGCCTCCATAAATTATCCAGGAAGTCTTATTAAAAATGTCATTTAAAGAGTTATTTAGAATATTTTTCCTGTTCCAAGCTACTGAGCTATGCAGGGTAAGAAGACTAAAGACCGAAAAAATGCCATTAGGCAGCACAGATTTGACACACAGTGATGAAAGAGCGTTTCAGATTTGTACAGGATGTTTGAGTTCTAAAAATGGTTAAGAAGGATCACTTAATTGTGGCTTGAAGGTGGTTTTTATTCTTAATGGTAGACTATTATACAAGAAGGCCTCACAAAACTCAGAAGATTGCTAACTGTTAATCTCTGTCGTGTCTGACTCCCATGGTGCTCCTCTTATGCCTCTTAGGAACCAGTGTGAGGGCACTTGTGCAGGAGGTGAGAGCTGTCTTGGTAATTGCCACAGCTCATTCGAACCCGTGTTTTGGATATCAAGCTTATGAGATCAGCTTTGTTTTCTATCTTGATTTCCTTTCCCGTTTTGCGTGTGATCTGAATGATGCCAGAGGACAACTGAAAGTCATGCATCCATTGAGGATGTGCTGCTCCTATTGCTTCTAACACTGGCCTCAACCCACGAGTAAACTTTCAGAGTGGACTGTTGTTCAGGCCAGCTGATGACAGAACCATTGCCATTAACATGTCTGTCCTGTCTGTTCTGTAACCATATTTCAGGACAAAGTACCAAGCATCTTCCAACACTGTAGTGAGACACCCTTTCATTAACTTTACCTTAACTGATCAAGTGGACAGATCCTTCCAGAAGCTCTGTCAGCTCACTATGGAGTGCATGCAGCACAAGCTGAGATAAAACACAAAAAGGTGTTTTTATAACATTACCCCGCTGACATTTGACAGTTTGCAGGGAAGCCTCAGTGTGTTGTGATCTTGGTCATCATTTTCACTTGTAAAAACCATCTTCTAGGGGTGGACGTGAATCCTTTTACACACACAGACAGCACAGGAGTCACTCAGTGAAGCAGAACACAAGCTCACTATGAGCAGTGAGAGGGATTCAAATTAAAATGCACCTGCTACACACAACACTGTCATTTTCCTAATAATAACTTTGTGAATTTGTTGTTGTGATAAATTTCTAGGCAAGGTAAACATTAATGCCGTTTTAACTTAACAACCTTTGATTTAAACTCTTCATATAGAGATGCATCAGTGCACCCATCAGTCCCAATTAATCAATATGAACAAGTACATTTCTTTTTCAAGGGCACCTTCTTTAGGTTTATCCTTAAGTCTGCATTTTCAAAAACCTATAAAAATATAATCTCTCAAATTCTGAAGCAAACTTAGGCAGAGATGTCTTTGAAAATATTTTTGTCATTGCCCCCAAAGAAGTGTTATATAGGTTGATTAAGAAGCAAGTGATAGAAACTGTTTTGGAGGAGCGTTATTGGAGTACATGGTGACTGTAATGATATTATTGTGAATCTCCAGGTAGCACTCATTGCAAAAGTACAAGAATGTCAGGCCAGTTGCTGAGCTCATTTTAGCAGCTACAGAGAAGTGTTAGCAGCAACATGTCCTGCAGGCAGAAGAAAAGAAAATGCATTAAGTATTGAATACCAAGTCTCGTTCCGGTGCAGGTAATCAAATCTCCTCCCTGTGTCCAGCAGAAAATTAAATACTTCCATTTGTATGGGAACGGAAGACTTTTTCCTGTCATCTTCAACTAAGCTTTTTTAAGCTATCTGCCGTTAGGCTTGCACAAGAAATTTCTATTTGCTTTTTCTTTTCTGAAGACATTTCCGCAGTTTTCCATTGCTGTTTGGACTCAAGTTCTGGAGGGTTCATTTTCTGGGAGGCGTGGGGCTAACAAGCTGCGTTTTGGCTATTTGGCACACAAATAAAATCAAACTTAACTGAAGCAGCACCCATTCAAGGGCTGTTCCTCAATCCAGGGGAACTCAAAAGTAGCAATGGCTCCCTTGGCATTGCAATTCATACAGAGTGGTATCCATTTTTACCACTGGAAATTTAATAAATTATGAATCACGAGCTCTGAATCCTCTTAAATGAGACATATGATAACATCATGTCAGTTACAGCTGTCAGGTGTCACCATCATGACTGGGCTTCCCATTAAGCCTAACCATAGTGAAAGGCCAGGCTAGCCCAGTCATGTGCACGCGTGCAGTTTCATCAGAGGTGTAAGTCACTAAAAACTCCTTGCTATTACCCTGAGACTCGCTGGGTGTTTTTCTAGTCACCTGCCGTGAAAGTAGAGTTGGGATCCAGACACACAGCACTGCCTTGATTACCTGAGTGGCCCTGAATTCCTCAGAGTGGCGTGAAGAGCTGAACAGCAGGGTGGGACTGAATATACAGCAACTGCTTTATCTTTCAGTGATGATGAAATAATCGAGAGTCATTGCCCAGCCCTGGGTACCAGCTTCAGCTTTTGCTCTTTCTAACATTTTTCTGTTTTTGCTCTTTTCTTGACAGTTCAGATCGGCTGATCGATGACACAATAAGGTAGGAGCCGATTTTATTTTACTGCTAAGGGACATGTGTTTGCTTGTTCTGTCCTGATATTCAATTTCTTTTTGGAGTTTCTGTAAAAGTTCTGTAAAACTCATGCTTTGTGAGCTGAGACCTTGAATTCTCCTTTAGAGCACTACAGAATACTGCTGTTGTCCCAGTCTAGTCAGTAAAGAAATTATGCATGAGCAGATATGCCCTGGTCAGGTAATCAAATCTCCTCCATCAGTCTTAACTTCATCATTATATGTTAATTACATAGTAGTTACACATTGTCACAGCAGCAGCAAATATTCAGTGATGCCTAAACTGTTTTCCTTTGAGACTTTCACAGATATCACAGGTGTGTCTCATAACAAAAAGAGCACTTCTCAGGTTTGCTGAGAGCAGGGACATACGAGAATCACCAATCCGGGGGTGTTTTTGTGCGGAGGAAGAGAACTGGGATGGTCATGAAAAAATCTTCACCATATCTTCAGGTTCCGTAAGAAAAGCTGCTGCTTTTCATAACATGGGGCTGTGCAAAATCAGCCAGTGTTCTGAATTAAAACTCACCGTTGACGTTATCCTCTGACCCCTGGGGACTCTCATGTAAGTAGGATGCCTGAGTTGCTGCATTTCATCAAATTAGTCATTCTAGCGGAAAAGACCAGAAAGCAAACATTGTCAAGAGAAGGCAGAAAACCCCAGTGAACGCACCGACACGGATTCTAATTAACCTGTTTCACTGGGGAAGGAAAAGATAAATCACTTGAGAGCCAAGCCAAGCCAATTCCTCGGTGATTCGATTGTACCAATGCATTTAGCTGGAAACTGATCTGGTCTTAAACTAAGGCCTGCAGACGCCTCCTGTGCAATCCATACCTTCCACAACATCTCCTGGAAAGTGGACAGGCATCACACTGCGAAGCTCTTAGTTCACGTGGTAAAGTCTGTGCTTGGACTTTAAAATTACGTTTAGCACTGATTGCTAACCATAAAAACAATTCACTAGTCTAAATAAACAAGCTCTGTAAAAAGGTTTCAACACCAACACAATCAGGACGAAGTAACCAAGAGTCTTACAGTTCTTTTCACAAGGCTTTTGTTCTTGTGACCGAAGATGACCTATTGTGAGTTCTTTGTTCTATTATGAGTGAACAGTAAGAAGTGTTCACTTATAATCATAAATAATGAAGCACAACATCCTGCAGGATCATTTAACACTGATGCAACAAAAACGCAAGACTGCGGTGTCATTTAGACAGTATTTTGGTCACAAATGCACTCTTTGTTACTGGATCGGTGTGGCTGTATAATCACGAATAAGTGCATGGAAGATACTGTACACTTCAGTATACTACAGTATGGAGCAGGGCTGAGGGCTGTGCTTCTAGTGCAGCCTGCTGTTAATACAGTCTTTTAAGCTCTGTGAGGGATTTCCCGAAGGCAATATCTGTGGACCCATCAGCCCCGTGAGGGAGACCGAAGGAGACAGGCGTCTTCGTGAATTCCTGCAGCGATTCGAGTCATGCATGTTGATGTTCATCCCACGCTGCTTATGTAACGCCGGCAGTGGATCGGCGGGGTGGGGTAGCGGCTGGACCCAGGCGCCTCACCTTCCTGAGAAAACCCCCCCCCGGGGCACGTGGCAATGTGGGGAGCCCCTGTCGGGGCCCCACGCCCTTCTCCAGCTTGGGGCCTTGTTAGTTTCCTTAAAGGAAGCCTGCTGGGTCTGGGACACTAGAACTTCCTCTCAGATACAGAAGGAAAAGGGGAGAATGCAACTTTGTTTCTCATTCAGATTTCTGCAGATGTGCACTCCGCCTTCTTTGAAAACAAAATCATTTTAAGTTGGATTTCCTTTTAAAGAAGGTTCTCGCAATCCAAGCCTGCAAGAATTCTGTGCCGCCCATGTCTTTATATCACGTGGATACCTGTCCCAAAGCAGCAAGACACCTCTCCTGAGGCCCGTTCCCTTGAGCTCGGCTCTCACACCTGCGTTAACACTCAATTAGCTCATGATACAAAAGCCACCAGTTGCCCTATGAACAATACGTGGCACTGTTTCAGCACGTACCGTAGCTGTTAAAGATCAAACGAATGAAGTGAAGGTTTGGATTGGAAAATCTCTTCTTGGAGTAAAGACGACATGGAAAATTTGGTAATCCCATAATCCCGGCCAGTGTTTTACAGCGGTATCCTGTCTCGACTCATGATCAAGCACTGCGTTGTTCCGTTTGACTTATTTGTACTTGACTCCCTGCCTCTGTCATTTTGTCTTGGGGGTTGAGGGGGACGTTGTTGCCCAGAGCACGATAGACGGTAGATCTCTGGGGTTTATCTGACGGCTTTGATTCTGTACTCAACAGCTGGTTAGCCAGAAGGCTTTTCTCTCTCTCATTCTTTTACACTGACGAATGTGATTTCATGAAGACCTCCTAGGGAACAAGTTGTACCATCAGCATTTTACTGCTTGGAAAAAAACCCAGCATGCTTTCACTGGAGACCAACACAGCAGGAAGAATGGGTTTCAGGTCTGGGAGGCTTCATCTGAATTCCAGTTCTACAGTACCAAGGGCTCTGCCTGCAAATAAGAGTGAGATACACCTGCAAGTGGCAGAGTGCTGTGCACTGCTTGTCTGACGGTCGTTTCTGTGGCTTTCAGCTGGTTTATAAGGAAAACAGGGACATTTCTTAGTTGCTTTGTGATATGAAGAATCAGGACTTTTTAATGATTTAGTTTGCTATCAAATTGGAGAAAAGGGGGAAAGGCAGGTTAAAATGGAGCTTTTGTCCGGAAGAGTACAGATCATTTGGGAACATTGATGGCGTTGGCTGCAGTGAGCCACCAGCTCAGGATTCTGTAGCTGTAACAGAAACCGACGTCTTCTGCTTACTGTGTGGCCTCATGCTCTTGCATTAGGGACTTCATGATTTTTCATCTCATCAATTAGTCTTTTATAGTAAAAACTTTAAAGACAGAACAAAAATGGGGCAATATATGAGAGAAATGAAGCAGCATGAAATACAAAGAGTTGTTTCAGCTTGACTGTGGCTTGGCTAACAGAGTCTGCAGACATCGTGTTCGCCTTGGGACCAGAGGTGCAGGTTCGATTCCTCCTAGAAAAGTGTTGAACACTGATGGGCCACTTAGGCAAATTCTTATTCCTGACAGTAATGTCGCTGTGTCTGTTTGAACCAGGGTGGCTACCAGAAGTCCCCGCTTTACAGTTCCCTTGTTTTCTTTGTATCCTAAAACTGAGATCATGGCAAAACTGGTCCCGTAATATCCTTTGTAGTGTCTCTGAAATACAATAGACATTTTTTTCTTGGAGAAGCTGTACTGAATAGCAGTACAGCTAAAGCATCCCAAGACCCCCAAAAAAAGGCTGTTTTTGTGTGAATTAATGCCACTTCACACAAAATAATTCACTTCACAATAATTGCATACATGCCGCATTTATGGTGACTATAAAACAGGATGCAGTTAAAGAGAATAAAAAGGACTTGCATTTGATATAGGGCCTTCTAACAAGATCTGCATTACAGATTGCCACATTCACAATCAAAATGGATTAAGATGGTTTGAAGTGCATGAAAGTAATTATAAGGAATCTTCTCATATTCCTTTTATTTGCCACGTCTGCTGTCTACAGTGTCTGTGAGAATGGATTTCTAATGGAGGTTCATTTTTCAATAGGCACTAAATCATCCTGTTGCAGACGGTATATTGGGATTAATGCATTTTGGGGTTTAAAGAACCCCCATTTTTTTTCCTCTCCCTTTTTTTTCCCAGAATTAAAAGTAATGTAAAAAGCAATGAAACGTCCAAATGACTTCCAAGTCTGGCTGCAAAAAAGCTCTTGCCTTTTTTGGGCATCCCGTGCCCTTGTTCATAGCTGAAGCCGGGCGTTGTACTTTGACTGTGACTATGATCCTCGGATTGCGGCTTTGCACTCACATTTCACTTCCTGCTTCCCCGTGTCGCTGTGCGAATTATTCAAAAGGGTGTTTGAATGCCAAAAGACCGCAAAGACTAACTTCATTACTCTTGCTTCGAATGAGATGTCGACCCAAGATCCTGACTCTCCGTGGTCATTAAAAAGCCCTGGTCATTTCTGGGAAGAGTGTGGGTGTAACCCCGGTGACCTGGCTGAATTTCCATCTGGCCTTTACCAGTCATGGCCTCCTAATAATCCCCATCTGTAAATGAGCTTCATCACTCTGCTCTCCTCCCCACTGAGAGCTGGTGTGTGACACACTGGTGGTGGTGGAGGGGATCCCCATTACCTGTAAAGCGCTTTGAGTGGAGTGTCCAGAAAAGCGCTATGTAAGTGTAAGGATATTATTTTTATTATTATACACTTAAGAGTACAATCTATGGATATGGCTGAGGTTACTGTTTTAAAAAAAAAAAACTCTCGGTTTGGAAAAAGCAGCTGGAACACTCTATCCTGTCTGTTTTTGGTAGTTTTCTGTCCTCGCTGGTTTTGCCTTTGCCTCGCGCACTCAGGGCGTTTTCCCCCCAGCAGCACGTGAGAGTGGGTTTCTGTCCGTCGTGATCACAGCTCCTCCCGGGATCCCTCTTGGAGCACTGGTCGGAACCGCCTCGAGCTGTCGACTGCGAACGAGGGGCGTTGCGCCAGGAGCCGGGATGGGGGGGGTGGGGGGTGGGCTGACGGGCTGGACAGGCCAGCTGCCATGCCGTTTCTGTAAATGTGTGTGGTCCTGTTCTCTTGCAGCATCGCCATGGCAACCAAGGAGAACATGACCTCCCAGCGCGGGCTGCTGAAGTCCATACAGAGCCGAGTCAACACTCTAGCCAGTATCCTTTGTTGCCGCGACGAGTGCTGTCCAGCCTGTCTCCGCCAGGGAATGTCTGTGCTCTCAGAGCACAAGCTGCAGTGGTGCTGCCTCTCTCACATAATCATGGTACTGTTTCTGAGAAGGCATGATAAATATACAGAATCCATAAATAAGACATTGAAGAGCGCTTTATGCTTAGATCTGTGCCGTTTTGAATGCTAAGACTGACGACCAGGGATCACTTTACCCTGGCTCTGGTATCAAAAACACGAAGCACATTAATTCAGTTCTGTCCAATTACGCAAGACAAGCCTGTGCCTGCCCTTTGATCTGTTGTCTTGTGGTTGTCTTATGTACACATGCACCGTTCTAACAAGATGAGATATCTGTGCACTTCAACGAAGGCATTCCCCACAACCTGATTAAAAAGTCTGGAGGCAGCTACCGATGCCAGTGTAGTTTGGGAGTATTTAATTGCAGGGATGAACTGAAAACCAGATGGCACCTGCAGAAGTTCCAATATTCAATTAGACTTGCAGAAAGGATATATGAAATACTGCTTATACTGAAGACTGGAGGGTGCTGGCATGGACTCTTCTAGTCAGGCTGCAAGCAGATTTGACTTCAGAATAGGTGCACAGCATAGGCGAATATCATTCATTGCATAAGCATGTACAGTAGATGAATATCAGTTATGTTACATATAGAGATCACATAAAACAGTGTTGCCATGGTAATAATAATTAGTATTAATAATAATTGCTTACACTTATAAAGCGCTTTTCTGGACACTCCACTCAAAGTGCTTTATAGGTAGTGGGGACTGCCCTCCACCGCCACATACATGGTAGTATGTTAGATGAAAGCAATAATTTTTCAATTTTTAAATCAAATACTGTATTAGAGTGTTTCAGCTGGGTACATATTATTTATGTTTTAAAATCTTTTAAAAAGCTTTCTTTCAGGAAGAAAAACAGCTAGACACCACCTAATGGATGAAGTATCTGTGTTATATAGTAACCCTGTGTGTTTCGCGTAAAACAGCATTGCATTAGGCAAGCCCCTGCAGCGTGCTTCTGCTGAAAAAAAAAAACTGCTTTGCGAGATTCCTTAACCAGATTGTTTGCCAGATCGCTTTCCGGCCATCAATAACCTGATCCAGCGAATTAACTTGAGGAAAAGGCGGGACTCTCTAATTTTGGGCGGAGTCATTGGTGTTTGCACCATTCTTCTGCTGCTGTACGCTTTCCACTGATGGGCAGACCAATGGCTTTGGAGAACTGTGCAAGTAGGAGGAAGGACCTTGGGAGAATGGGAGTGGCAATGGGAGGAGACTGGTGGGAAGTAACGCCCCCTTTGCCAAGAATGATTTCTGGTCTGTGGCCAGACCAGCATGGACTACTGTATTTCACCATACCAGTGGAGGAGGGGGTTGAGACTCATTAACCTAAAACAGTATTTTTGTTCTTCATATCCACGAAGGCAAACACACTGTTAAGAGACACATGAAGGGGACATAATTCATTTAACTGGCATCCAAAAATAAAGGAGCAAAAATTAAAGATTTTGATAATGGAGAACCCCCCCCTAACTGGTCTTGAAGAATAGATTTCATATTTATCCTGTCATTTTAAAGTTGCAGGAGTTCCGATTTAATGTTCCTTTGAGGGAGAGGAAACCTGTCATGGGATCTACTGAGACTGCATTAAGAAATAAATGATTTGGTTTATAATTTGTGAAAATGGTGGGCTAAACACATTTAAATGTTTTTTTTTCTATTGTAGCATTTTAATTTAAAGTGCATTGGTACATCTCTATTAGCAGGGATCTTGTGACTTGTACGTAAGCCTAACATGAAGTGGATAACTGGTGATAGTGTACAGTATGTTTGCACTCTCAAGTGATCCTGGGGTGTGAAGAGCATTTCGATTTTGCTCTCACGGTGGTGTAGATTCTTCCTGTCCAGTATTGTTTGTGTTTCTGAACCCTTGAAATTCTGTTTCACACATACACCTTGGGGCTTTTCTTAGGAATAAGAGTTGCCGGGTGTCTTGAGTGGTGTGGACAGAGCAGTGAGATCCAGCATTAAAAGGCTTTCCTTACCATCTGAGAGCTGCTGTCTTTCTGCTCTGCTGCTGTCATCCTGTGGTGCGCCTTGCTGTGTAGCTTGGCGTTCCTGATTCACAGCAGGCTCTAGCAGATTATGAGACCATCCATTCTCTAGCAATCAATGCAGTTCCATCACAGTCTCCTGTCTCTTTCAGGTTATCACTGGAGTAGTTATTTTGTCCTTATTCAAATTTCAGCAACAGGATTCAGCAAATAGTTATAAACTTAGTTTTAAAACACTGGATCTTGTGAATTTGCAGACAGTTAAATGTTGTTGAGATCTCATTAGTCGACTTTATCTTTGGCCTCGCCTTTGTGCTTTGGAATAATGCGTTTGTATTGACTTGCTGTCCCCTTACAGGACACAGGGGAGAAGGATCTCATTTGCTGTTTGGTCCACATGTGAAAGGACTGTTAGGAATTAAAATCATATAATTACTGGAGTATTGGGAGCAGCAGAAATTCTTGCATACCAAGCAGGTCTGTCCAACTCAATGTACCAAGGCCACTAATGAAGAATGTTTAGGTGCACAGTGTTGCAATTGACTATCCTAAATACAGTGCCTTGCTGAAGGTCCCTTGGGTGGCTGTGCACTAGTTTTGCAATGTCCACATGTAAAAATATAACTGCATTTTTAAGCTTTGCAATGCAGGTGGTCTTGGATAAGGCACTGAGCTAATGTGTTGTGTTCAGCATCGCCCTGGGGTTTGAGATGTGGATCAGGGCTGTATGTGGCGGACTGGTGATACTCTGAGATTCACAACAGACCCGGCTCACCCAGCAACTCAAACAGCAATCTTTGCGAGTCCATTTGTAAGGTTTTCTCTCCTTCCCCTCTATGTAAATATTGTACATATATAAATATATATAATAATTTATGCATCTCTAACAAACGTTTAACATAGACTGGAAGTAAAGGTTCATCGGGAACAGCTATCTATTCAATATGAAGTGCTTAGTGTAGAAAAATTGAACAAGGAACAAATGGTCTGGTTCATTTTCAGAAGACACTGGATGTTAACGCTGTCTCAGCACCTTGACTGGTCCTTGTTTGGTTAGTATCTGTGTCCTGTTAATACCTGCTTTATATCTGTGGTCTGCAGTCCCTGCCATACTGACATACTGACCCCTCCAAGGCTAGGGTAGTGTTGACATACTGTTTGTTTTTTTTCGTTCATTCAATAATAATTCACAGCAGGAGCATAAATGCGACATTTCTTGTGCAAAGGCTGAAAAGAAGATGAGAGTTTTGATCCTGGCATTTTTGATCCAGGATGTTTTCTACATTAAGTATATGCCCTCTTTTAGCTTGTTATTCACAGGATATTTAGCTTTAGTAGTGTTAGACATACAGCACATATTTACAAGGTTTTCTTTTTCAACAGCAAACCAAAATCTGAGATCTATACAGTATACATTGTGTGGTATATCCTCAATGAGACAGCAGCATCCCCTAGAGTCTTGCTGTGGTGGAGGTAATCACATTAAGGGGCAGCAAGACTTCTCCTGTGCCCTTGCGTAACTCTTTTGTTTTGCTCAATGCCCAAGTGGTACAGGAGTATCTCTTTCAAGGAGCCACTGTGGCCAGTTTCCATCTCCCTAAGACTTGGCCACTAATGGAGTTTGTTTGTGCCACATGAGCAGAAGTGGCCTACTTGAAGACGGTAGCTGTGCTTTAGCTGGGTTCAGCTTGTTCGGCCACCACGTTCAAGGGGTGGGCAGCCCACAAGGGAAATGTACTTAAGCCAGACAAACTTGCAACTCCTTATAAATCACCAGAGAGCAGCCCTGTGGAGGAAGAAAAAAGCATACCTCCTCAGTATGCTAATGTCCATTATTTTAATTAAACAGGGACACGTAAATCAAACTCAGCCTTTTTCTTTTGTCTGCTGCCATTAAGGAGGCAGATGAATATTTTTCTGCTTCAGATAAAAAGGTCATTGCTGCTACTGTATTAAATCAGGGCTTCTACAAATGTACCTGCCCAGATTGTATCAGCACACATGTCCCTTTTGGATTTATGGAAAACATTGACAGTTATTGTCCCATTGGGATAAAAAAGGTCGTAGAATTTAATTTCAGATGGCATAAAAAAACATCTGTTTGTACTGATTTAGTTTGTTTTTAAAGCAATAGACCATTAAAACCTTCAAGCTTAGCCTCACATCCTTTTTCAGGCTGGCATTTATGTCACTTTAATGCCTTGAATGGCGTTTTTTCAGCGTCAAGCAGGTGGTAGTTGTGCCACAGAAAGTCTGTTTTTTATCCTTCGTTGGCTGTCCCCATGGGGATCTTTTCCCCCTCTTACTGCGATTACTGACACTTAACAGCAACACCAACAGCAAGAAAAAAGTGGTGACAGACGCAAAATAAAGAGAATTATGAAGGAACTCTCAGAGCCAGAGGCTTTGGTTTTTGTAATTAGGTGTTATCTTTCAAAAAGCCAGGAATAAGAAGCCCCTGGTACTGTAGTTGTGATTTGGCAAAGATCTGGAGCACAGCTGCATATGTGCGTTCCACCAGACGTCATGTTATTTCAGCAGGTAGGGGAATGATGTAGGGACCTTGAACTGATCATCCTGTCACATAGTGGGTCTTGACCGTGTGCGAGCTGATGTACAGAGAGCTCTCGCAGAGCCCAGCAGGGGAAGCAGGCTCTCCCTCTCTCCCCCTAGCAGCCCCACCCCTGCAGGCAGCTCAGCTGGGCACCCCCAACATCTGGCTGTGCTCCTCTTCACTGGCAGGGCATTGCCAGAGACCAGAGCAGTCTGTCGGAACATTTTCTCTTGTTTTCTCCGTGCGCTCCCTTCTGATTGTTCCTGTCTATATTATTGTGCAGAGGCAGGCAGAATTGTAACCAATGGTATAGAGTTCTGACTTTCTGCCTTTTGTTCAGAGAAGAAATGAGACGGTATGCAGCATTGTTATATTAGTGCAGGACTGAAAAATAAGGTAGCTACTGTAGCTCTTCTGTTATTTTATTCCCTCAGGCTGTGCTGATAGGAGTTGGGGTTTCCGAAGGCCGTGGTCCAGGCAATCTGGGGTGTGTTTCCCAATAATCTGGGCAGTGTATTTTAACCCTTTAAGGCCAGTCAACGCAGTCCAATCTCAGCGCTAGGTTTTGCCAGGAACACTAGCAAAGGGCTAAGATACCACATTCCTTTTTTCACCCATTTCACCCAAATAGACTACCTTATTTTGAGTCAGTGTAGACTGTTTGGCTATGTTACCATATTAGTTTTTTTCTACTGGACAAGCAATCATAGTGGTATTGTAATAAAATCCACCACTCTGTTTACAGTACCGTATTATAAGATGCTCTCCAGTACACCACGGCCTTTTCTAAACTGTTTTCTTTATGATATGCATTTATAACAAGATTTCTTTTCAGATGGAATAATCCCGGAAAAATAATAAGATTTTATTTCCTTTTACGGGGGTGGATTTGAATTTCATTTGTAAATAGCATAATAATAGGGCTATTTTTGGATGCAAAATCAAAACAAGCTTATCTGAGTGATTTTTATTCTTTCTGATGTCGTCATACGGTGTATCAATAAATCTTATTGTGATACAGCGCTACATGATTATTAATAAATCATATTGTGATATCACCGGAAAGCTTGTAACTCTGTTTCTCCTGTTTGTTCTTTTCTGCAAGTCAGAATGATTCCCTGCTGTCTATTGTCCTCCAGAGATTTACAATGTTTTGGATTCTGAGTTAGTTTTTGCACTGACCTAATTGTACCAACTTGTTTTTTTTTCCTTTCAGGAATTAGCTGTTTAAATTTTTTATTTAAAGGAGGTCAAAACCTGTCTGTTATTTTTATACCGGTGCTCTTGGATGCTGCATTTCAGCCTAGGAATATGCTGTATACAGGAACAAATGCCGTGTCTTTTTCCTTCGTCTAGCGACCCTTGCCACTGTTTTCAGCTCAGTGTTTCTCCGCTCCACTTGACTTTTGTCTCTTCGTGCCACATGAAGAAGCTTGCGGTCCCGCTGGGATGTTCAGAGCAATGCGCTGGTAGCATTAGCGAGCGGTCCGGACCGTTAGTGTGCTCTCAAGACTGCCCAGAGCACCATTGGGGTGGGAGCTGGGGGTCTGATCTCACAGTAACCCAGCCGTCTCCTTGGGGCTGCTCCAGTGGAAGGAGGTCCTGTTCCCCTTGCGGGGCTCTCTAACCTTGTGTGACCAGTCGTGTCCCTGTGCCAGATGGGTGTGATGTACAGTACTTGTGTGTGAAGTGGAATATGTACAGCCAGGTTTGCCGCCAGGAGTGATTTATGCTGTGGTGGAGAGGAGGCTAAGCGCCCCTGTGTTTGCCGTTGTTGTCTTGCTCCTCTCGGGTGATTGTCAGAACCCCATTGCGACGAGCGGCGAAAGGGGCGACTCGAGAAGGTGTTCTGCAAAATTCTTGAGACAAAGTGGCCTCAAAGTGCACAATCAGACTGTGGATTTTGTGCCATTTCCTCCCCCATGCATTATTTAAGACAGTGTCAATATAGGCAATAAATTATGGAAGAGGCGAGAACTCGTTAGTGTGTGTGTGTGCGCGCTGTAGTGAGCTGGTGTGGCTGCATGAATATGTCTGAAGGAGGAGAGAAGTTTAAATGAGAGGAGGAAGTGTTTGCAGCGCTGTATTTTAGCTTGTGCTCATGATGCGTTGTAAGAATCCCAGTAAGCTTCTTCTGGCTCTGTTCATTACAAACTCACAGCACCCGCAGTGACCATGCATGTTAATGTTTATTCCAGTCATGCGGACAGTACACCCCCAAAAATATAAAACATTCAAAGGGAAGTAATAAAATTTTTTAAAAAAGGAAAGTACACACATTTACATTTGTCAGCTGACACTCAAGTACTAGCGAAAGGGCAGTCAGGGAAGCTACAGCCTTCTCATCTCTACAGTCTTCTGGCTGAACGATGAAAACGGGGAGGTTTCCAAACAGCTGCCAGCTCTCGTGCTGAACCCGGGTCAGTACGCTCCTGCGACCGAGTCTGGGCTCTCGCTCGGACCCAATGCAAGCCATGCACCGAGATTCTTACGAGTGGGAGTTTTACAGCTGTCACGCCCAGACAAATGCAACGTCTTTGTGTCAGTTCTTTCTAAAGCACTTGCAGGTAGCAGGAAGTTTCTTACAGCACGTGCCAGTGGAACTGAGTCTTTTGCTATACCTGTAATTTTCTTCAAAGACATCCAGCTTCACTGTTTCCTGCTTTGCACTTTGGGAATATTCTGATCACTTGATCACTGAAGGGTTCTTGAAAATCATCCAGTTGGTATCTCTTACTCAGATGAAACTCTCCACCTCCCACATTGTGTCCCCCTACTAATTTCCTGTACAGGGGAGAGAGGAGACTGGCAGACCAACAGATACATAGGAGAAGACTTACACCACTGTTCAGTACAGAACTCGTCAGTTTACACACTCAGACCCTGATCTCCCAAGAGGAAAGGGGAAACAAAGCTTTCCGTTTACAGCCAAAATTGATTACAGCATGTGCTCTGATAATAGATTAAAAAACAGAATAGTGAAGAACCACAGTGATACTCCATTCCTCACATCCAAGTGCTTTACGACACACATTTGCATTCAGGTTTCTGAATTCAGGAAAAAAGTCAATATAAAATCATGTATTAACACAAACTTTCTGTATGCTGTCCTCTCTAATGAAACTGTGTAGCAGTGCATCTAGAGTAAAAAATTACTACTGATCACGAATGAATGTGGAAATAAATATTGAAGTCAAAGGTCTGGCTTGACTGGCTTTCTCAACATTAGATCTAACTGGCACACAAGTTTCCATAATTCATCTGCTGTGGTAGTCTCCTGCTTCACAATGATATAATTGTTTTTCATGCATTTTCTGCTACCTTAGTTTTGGGCCTTTAGGCTACTGGACAAAGTCTGTTGTTCCTTTAAAGTGCTACACTAATTATTACACCACACTGGAAGAAAGCATTCTTCCATGAACTTCCACAGACAACAGAGCTACAAGAAGCTGACACTTCACACACGTGACTATCACAATAAATGACCAGGTATTTGGAAAGCTGTGCCATTTTTGTGCATGACTACATAGTTCCAAGGAGTTCCATGAGGTTAACCATGAGATAGCCCCCAATGTCTTACTTAACCTGACCCGGTATAAATTCTTGTCTCTTACAAGTAATGAACTCAGGCAAGAATGCATTCTATTCATTGTAGCGCAAGAAGAATTTCCTTTCATGCAACCTTTTTTGCCCTTTAAGTCCACTTCTACAGGGAAGGTTAAGTATCTCTTGTGAGGGACTTGTTTATACACATGCTTATAATGCGACAAAATCTGCAGGAAAGTTTGAGGAAAAAAGGGCATTCTAAGGTCAAATATTTTATGTGCACACGCTGGTCCATAATGTTATATCTGCACAAGAAAGTGCTTGTGTAACATATTCACCTTAACTTGTTATCAGGATGGCTCTTATTAATATTTCTTCCAATTGCAGTGAAATTTGTTGCTCCTCTTCTGTATTTGAACATGCAGAAAGACATTTGTTTAAAACTGTGCCCAACAACTCGACTCTCGGTCAGCTTAAGTGCTTCACTCCGGGCCTATTTGGAGACAACATCATCTTCCTTTTTTACCAATAAACATACTGTAGGTGTACATATACAAGATACAAGTCTTTGTGGGGTGGTGTGTCACACTTTCAAAACACGAAACACCAGGTGACAGGATTAGTAGTTTCAGTGCTGTGGGATATCCTCAGAGTTTCTTGCAAGACTTACCACAGCAATATTAACAGAAGTATATGCTTTGAGCATGCCTACAGTATATGCTGTATACATACTGTACCAGTACTGGGTGAGGGGAAGGGATATTCAGCTGAAGCTCAGAGAGACCAGAGGCACAAAAAAAATGGAACCTGCTGTGAGATGTGTAAGAGTGGGGAAAGAGGGAGGTACCCAGTATTTGTACTGTATTACTCCAGGGGGCTTCCTGTAGGCGTCCGTCAACCTGATCCTTCCAGCCTCACCCAGCGTCCTCGTGTTTGGGATATTTCAAGCCAGGACAATGGAGCACAGCAGCAGTGCTCTCCAGACCACAGTGGCACACAACCAGCAGTTAAAAGATTTTCAGAATATAAAGCACGCCCACCCCTGTCCATTCCTCCAGTGGGAGAGCGAGCAGGACCTCTCTGGTCCGAGGTGTGTTCACGAAGGATGGTTCCGGCCAGCAGAGTTCCCAGAATCTTCACCACCCCCCAGTGGGCTCTCTGCTCCAGCTCCCCGTGACAACAGGAAAAAAAACGACGACTTTCGTATCTACATCCAGAAGAAGCATGCAAGTGGTCATTTTTTTTTCATCAAAAAATACAAAAAACCCCTCTAATGTTGACTTAATCCCTTTCCGCTGACTAGACAAACCCCTCAACCCCAGCTGCTTTAGTAGTCATCCTTATCCAGGATGGCGTCCTCTGAAAATATTCTCCTCGTATTCCTGCTGCCCATTCTACAGTACCTCTGCACACAAACATCGTTTTTACGTGAATATATACCGGATATATTGATATATTTCTATAGTTTTCTATAGTTGTTAGTGCAATATGTCAGTCAACTAGTATACAATATTCCAACTGCATGGTCCCTCTGTTCAAAACTTCGAACCAATTGTTTCCTTTCAGTTTTGTTTCCTTTCCAGTGTGCCCTGCTCTAAAGAACACATCCTTTCACTTGATTCCCTCCTCCTGCTTCCTTCAGCCTCTGACTGAAAAAAAATAAAATCACATTATTTGTATTGGCATTAATTATTGATTTTTTTTGTTCTTTTGTGTTTTTCTTTCTTTCCGTCAAGCAGATGGTAACTAAACGCATGCATTTCTTGCTCTGGTTTCCGATTTGATTGCCTATAGTTATTGGCTTATGGACTTGAATGCTTTTAGATCTGTCGCCTCGTGTCCAGAAGCAGTGGCGGCTGGATGTTCTATGCAGGGCAGGGACAGTGTTGTGCGACGGACGGAAATTCTTTTATCTTGTTTCTTGATTTTCCGTTTTATTTTACAGATGAGCGAAACAAACTAGGTTTTTTTTTTTCTGTCCTTTCAGCCTCCTCCCTCGGACTTAGCCCAGAGCTGTAGGGGGGGAAAAAATAAACAGGAGAATGAAATCAACACTGATAATTGTCGTGGTATTGGTAAAATCTTTGTTTTTTTAAGAAATATAGTTCTGGTAGGATGGGAAACTCTACCATTTCTGGTAATAGTAGAAGCTTTTCAGTGTTCATGCCCTTAAGGGTGCTCTGATTTTAGTGAACATGCAGAGTAAGAGCACAACACTCAAATTCAGAAGCAGTAGCATGTAAAAAAAAACAAAACAGTAGAGCAGGTGCAGCATAGTTCAAGTCTGGCTGTGCTGCTTTGCAAGTGGCAGTAAAATACAGCAGGTTCACACTGCTACAGCCTGGAATGACAATACATCCAGGACCCAGCCTCTGTGTGACCTGATGTGCAAAAGCAGCACATTGATTTCCAGGAAAAGGGTTTTTTTTTTCTTGCCAATCTGGAACTGCAGGTTTTTTTTTGGGGAGGGTGGGGGGTTATTAAACACTCAACCAATATGCAGTCTCCAGTGGATTAAGAACTGGCACCGCAGCGTGTACAGCACCCCCCCAACCCCATGTGAGGGTACCCCAAAGGACGATAAGCATGCACCTTTGTCAGAGCCACTTTCTCACACAGCAGGCAGGGCCCTGGAATTGGCACCAGCCGGAGGTGGGCTGTGTCTCTCCCTGACGTCACTGCAAGCTTGCAGCAGACCCAGTTTCTCTGAAAGCTGCAAGTCACCCTGCCCGCTTTCTCCTCCCTGGGAGGACTCTGCCATGTGCACCTTTTGGGGTTTCCCCAGTCGCAACTGAACTCGGGTCCAAACCCGAGAGAGAGATCTGGCCCAGTAGGAAAATGGGCTTCAAAATCGAGCGAGTGCTCCTGACTGTGGCCTCATCAGATAGCACTACCAACAAGACTTCTACTTCAACAATCATAAGGGTATTATTGAACCATTCGTGAAAAGCCACAATGCCATTGCATTCCTGTACGTTTATTTTCCCAGGACAATAAATCAACTGGTTGAGAAGGCCAATTTTCACCAGACATTCACGACATCAAGAGCATTTGAAAGTTAGTCGATTATTGAGCTGAGAGTCTTGTCCAGCTGTGTCCTGAGGGATCCTCCCCCTAAATTGACTTCATTAGCCTAGCGAGGTACCTGTGACCACAGCGTAGATGGTGACGACGAAGATCCCCAACACTATGGAGATGATACTGAGTGTCCTGGCCACTCTGCCCAGCCTTCTGGCTCCATCCACGTCCCCGTGCTGCAGTGTGTTCCTGGACTGGATACAGATCACAAACAGGTGGACACTATTCATACTACTGTGGATTTAAACCCAGCCACACATCTTTCCATCCATCCATTTTCCACCCACTTTATCCAATACAATGTCACGGGGGGAGGGAGGGGTGTGGCCAGGATAGACTCCGGCTAGCAACGGGCACAAGGCAGGGTGCGCCCTGGATGGGACACCTCTCAATTGCAGGGCACACACAGACACACCAAGACCATACCCGCATGTCTTTGAACTACAGGAGGAAGCTCACACAAACTGCCCACAGACAGCACCCCAGGAATTGAACCCAGGACCCCAGCACTACGAAGTAGCAATGCCAACCACTGCATCACTGTGCTGCCCTATACTCTTTATTTTTTCCCTTCATAATTAAAAACATCGCCGCAAAGTTCAAAGGGTCACAAAAGGTTAAGAGTCATTGACGACTTTTGCAGTGCTTTTATTTCCAAAAATCAAAAGGTATTCCCAACGTCAGGGATTGGTCTCTTTTTGCAATAGTATACAGTTAGACAATGGAAAGTTGTTTATGAAAATAACCCACTCTTGGTTTAGTATTCACATATCGACCAGGTTAACCTGCTCGCGGTTAAGCCAGGCTGGTGCTTTATTTTAATCTTTTTGCAGTCAAAACTTTAAAATCTTATTTTATATTCCTAGTCAGTCAATCTAACTGAGCCACGTATTTTTGGCAAGGGTTGTGGTACCCCAGAGCCTATTCCTGAAGCACAGGGTGACTGGATGGGACACCAGTCCATCGTGGGGCACTCTTTAAAGACACCTCTTAAACTAGTCTGCATGTGTTGGGGAGGAACCGGTGCTGAACATGCTTTTAAATATTGCTTTAAAACACCAGAATCTGTGTCTCTTAAAATTTTCACGAGAGGACGGCTTTTCATTTGCTGTATCTGGAGGTGCAGCAGGAACTTCAGCACCGGGAATGGAGACGTTTTTTCAAAAACACAAAAATCAGTCAAAGGGCTTAACACTTGGAAAGGTAGTTTTGCTCCAGTGGAAACAAGGCTTTTGGCAGGCTACCCCCCGCCCCCCTAGACTGGCATAGATACAGCAAGCGAGTTCAGTGGATTAAATGTTGTAGATCTGAGGTGTGAGGAGCGATTCTGCAGGCCAGAGTGTTGCTGTGCAGTAGCTGCTCCCCTGTTCCAGTCGGCCAGGCTGTTGAAACTCACGGGAGGTAGACAGTATCTCAAACTCATTACCAGGAACCCTACCATAGTCTCCCCCTCCCATTAGGCAAACACAGGGGATTCATTTCCAACAGACTGCATTAAGAAAATCAATACCCATCATACAAGCTCCGAGACACAGTAAGAACCAGCTGGAGGTTTCTCTCTTCGCTCACTGCTCAAGCAAGAGAACGATCATCTCGGAAGTCTGAATACTGTGCCATCATTCTCACCTAATCTTATTCAGATCCTCACAAACAATCTGTAAACCTGTTTTTTACATCTGTTTTTTAGTACTTTAAGTATTTTCTTGTGAAGCGTCCCAGGATGACATATGAGTAGTGCTAGACAGGTGCTAAATAAATTGTCCTTGGAGGTATGGTGGAATTCTGAGATACCAAAAGCATTTTCTTTGTTTAACGTTAATTACAGCACTTGAAAATCCCCGGCAGTGGTGCATTAAGTGTTTCGGTTTTGAACATAAGAACACAGCTCACTTTATCCTGGCTCAGACCTGCTCCGCAGAGACTGACCTGAGAAATTCTGCAAGCGAAGCGTCATAATAAAAGCACGTCCCCCCCCCCCCAGCCCCCACCTCCGCTATAGAGCTGGCTTGTACGCTGCTCTGAGTTAGCAGTTACACTGTGGCTTCTCATTGTACACAAGAGAGAGCCAGTCAGATTCTCCCGCTCAGCTCTCTGGAGGGTTTCTGGGTAAAGCCTTAAATTTCAGCCACTCGCCAGCTCTTTAGGTTTCCATTAATGACAGGTTATTGCTTATTCCCCAGCCAGAGCCCACAGCGATATTCCTGCTGAGGTTCTCCCGTTCAGTGCTTCCTGTCGTCCTTATTTGAGAAGATTCCAGTTTTGCTGCTGTTCATAACAGTTCACACACTCTTCTCACATGCAGATTGTTCTTTTCAAACTGAAGTAGAACGTCCCCATTGCTTTTAGGGAGGGGGGGGGGGGGAGTATTGAATGTGTTTTACTGATCTGAGGTTGTTTTCTTGGTGGTGTCGAGTATGAGAATTGCAGATAATGCTCATTATAAGGGTTATTGCATGGATGTACAGTACATCACCAGCCATGCAATGGTAAACTTGCTTTGCAGAATGGAATAAAAAATAGATTCTCTTTGATCTACAATCTGCATTAAAGGACCTGAAAACATAGCATGGAACCTTATGTCACCCAATTGCAACCTACCCCTTTATTTACAGACTACTGTAACAGCTGCCAGCTCTCAGCTGGGAGGCATTGTCAGTTTGAACATCATTGCAATAAATACCTCCTGCTGACTGACTCGGGAACAGGCCAATTACCAACTGTAGTTTTTTTTTTTTTAAAAGTGAATTTTAAGGAGATTGATTCACTTTTTATGATGCATTGGGTAGATTTTTCCTTAAGCATTATATCGTAACTGGCTTTAGTAAAAATTCTTCAACGGACGTTTTTTTTATTTAAATCAGAAAAACAAGTCTTAAATTAAAATGGCAAAATAAGACAGATCTGTTACGCGATATCAAGCTGTTCAAAATGAAAGCGTATGGATTATCGTTTCTAGGAAGCTGTTCCCTGCAGGCCAGCAAGCCAAGCTGTCTGCAGCTCAGCCCTCTTGCAACTCCCACACTAACTAGCATGTTTACAGAATCCACAGGGGGCAGAGATGCTGGCGTTTTTTCTGTATTCTTTTCTGAGACGGGATTTTCCTCCTACCTGCTTGCTGTTTACCTTTAAAATAAAACAGGGCTCATCTTCCAATGAAGCTCTGTCTGCTCTTTATCTGTGCACAAAGGCTCATGAGTCACTCTGTCCCAGCGTTTACTGTTCAGGGAGAAGGGAACTCAATGTTCTGAAACCATTTAGAAAATTAACTGGAGGGAAGTAACATTATGTTTTTCAATTACAACATTAACATAAAAAGCATCTTGGATGACATTATCACATCCATCCAGATCAGCTTTCAGATACGGGGCATTCTCCTGGCCTTGGCAACACCTCATGGTCACGTCATTTAGTTACAGCCTTATGACACAAACCAGCAGTAACTGGTGTGTGGGGGAAAAAAAAATCCTGCACCTCACACATCCCAATCAAAATGGCATAAAAAACATTTTCAGAAGAAACCAGAGCACCTTTAGAATTGTTCTTAAAGTTATAGATAAAAATTCATCGTTCCTTACATGCGACCTCTCATTCAGATGTAAGGCCGACATTCACATTTCCCATGCTGGCTTTAAAACAATCCCAAGTATGATGAGCCTGATGTCCAAGGTTTCTTACACAAGACAATAGATCCCACTGGCCTGCTACCAAATCCCTCCCCCCGGAGCTGCAGCTCGCGATCTAGGGCTTGCTCTTTTCCACACCAATTCTCTCTGGTTTCGAAAGCGAGCTGCGCTTCCCGGCCACTGGAAAGGTACTAAAGGATTACAAGCAAAAACCGCCAAGCAACACTGTACTGGGCTAAAGCACGGGAAGAGATTTGTTTTAGCCAGAGCAAAGCCCCTAAAAACGAGAGGAAATTTCTCTATCCGGTCGTCTCCAGATTGTCAGCTACAGGACATGCCTGGCCAGTGCTGGGCTGTTGCTTGACATGATCGCCCTGCCAGGAGTCTGCATCCCTATGGGATAATTAGCTTGGTAAGCTTTTTCCTCCCTAATTTACTCTTCTGGACATGATTACCTACATTGATGACCATATACACACCCATCCCCACAGAGTCAAATCCAATAATGTTCAAGACTTCAAAGGCAGGCAGGGAAATTGCCATACTGCAGCCCCGGCAGGGATATACTGTATACATTGATCCGAGAGTGAAATACAGCCCATAGACACAATACCTGCTGGGATCTACAAAGATATGGCCCAAAGGGTGGCCTGAGACTGTAAATCACTTAAGCTCACCTGCTACTGTAGGTTTAACAGACCAGCCTCCCGTCACATGCATTGACATGCAATTTCCTCTGAAGTATAGCTAGCTGTTTTTAGATTATACATTCTGATTTTTAAAAAAGGGTTCCAAATTGCAATATGCTCAAACCAAACAAAGTAGACTGTCGGCAGTAGAATCTGACTTGCATACTGCGAGTATTGAAGTCAGAGTCACTTTTAGAAACCTGCCACTTGTGAGTGCAGGGCTCAGCTTACTGCACCAGAGAAAGAGGCATGTTAAAAATGATGGTCTATCAGCTTGCTAGAGGTAAGGCCTGCTCAGAGATGTCAGCATCCATTTGCATGCTGACAGAAAAAGCACAGTTGTAGTATTTTTTCAAGCCAATACATTTTTGCATCCAATCAAACCAAGTGTGTGTCACTTGACACCCTCTGTTGAGTTCCTCCTTGCCCAGGCTAGGAGAGATCTTCTCTTGTAGAGTAAACCACAAGAGAGCTCTTAAGTGCTCAGTCTCGGGTTTACACGTCCATTAATAATTCAGAGGCCAAACTGGCTGCCAGGACAACTGGAGAACACAAGACCATAAAAGGTGGGGGAATACGTTCTGAAGGCTCTGTTGCAAAAAAAAAAAGGTGCTTAGGTGCACGGGGGTAGAGTTCTGTGGTTCCCACCTGGTGGATTACAAGCATGCGTTGTAATTTTGGCGTTGTCAGCTAGGTTTTGGAGCAATATATACCTTCTGTATTTCCAAAATAAATGTATTGTAGAACAAAAAAAAAAAATCAAGGGTTATGATAAATATTATTTCACACATTCTGAAGCACATGTGGCAGAGGAATGCAGCTTGAGATATTCCCACCCCCCTCAAGCACATTAAACCCAACACCTACAGTCTAACTCCCTTT